CCCCCCCCCCCCTCTGAGTTCAAGTGTCAAAAGGGTAAAATGCCCAAGGGGTAAGTGGGGAGCCGTAACTCCATTCCTGTTGCCTGCTTGGACTGACTATAAGTGTGGGTGCAATGTTCTTGGACGCCTTTTTTTCCCTGGCATTATCCATCGAAATGATGAGAAGGCATTGTTGGGCGCAGGACTTGGCATGTGCGTCAAGAGGGGGGCAGCCACATATGATTAGCTGGCCTGGTCTGAGCGACATTCATAGACATGGAAGGGGCCTTACGGAGGAATCAGCAAAGCAACTGTTCTCTGCATTGTGTTGGTGTTGTCCTGGTGATGGAGCATGCATGTTCGTGCTCTCTCTCTCTGTCGCTACCAAGGACTCGTCTTATCCACAAAGGGAAACAGGCAATGCAAACCATTTTGCCCATGTGTGCGTAAACAGATCGGAGACGGAGAGGGGGGAAAGGCTAAGTCAAAGAGCATGATGCCCTTCGTCACCCCTTTCCCTCTCCTGCCTGAGGGTTGAACCCCAGGCCTGCATCCTAACTGCTAACTGCTCTCAGCATTGTCAACAAAGGGAGCAGATCAGGCACAGGGCATGCGTTGCATTTCCATCTCACCGAGGCTTTATGCAGCAGCACGTAAACATGTGGTGGAAATCGGTACAGCTGTCTCCCGGTAGAGGTGCCACATTCGGACATGTGGCACCCGCTTGCAGCCAATTGTGGGCAAGCTGGAGGTGCAGACTTCATGTTCCCGATCTGTGCTTGCTGGAGGTTGTTGTAAGATGTGGTCCAGATCTGCTTAGGAGGGGGAGCTCGATGCCTGTACTTGCCTCAACGGATTCAGTGTCTTTGTTGCCTCCATACAAGGCTATCAATCGCTTCTATAGTTATGGAGATACGCAATTGCTGCCAGCCGTCGCATCCATCCACATCAGCGGATCAGCTTCCAACTCCCTCGCGACTTTGGATGGCCATCTGGAACCCCCCCGGATATCAGCGTCTGCTGGGCGGGGGGGGGACGTGGGTCCCGACCGGGGATCTTATTCGAGTCGATCCACACACCGCTGCTACTCCTCAGAGATGAACATGCAGAGTGGAAGGAATGGAGTGGGGTGTTGCTGCAGAAGACCCGTTCTCCAAACCACTGGTTATGATAAGGTGGCCCTTATTCCTAAGGGCAGCAGACAGGAGGCCTGTAATGTCAAGGGGGGTTCGCTGCTCAGACAGCTCGCTAGACGTCTTTATAGCACAACAACAAGACGGGCGCCTCAGAGAAAGGAGGACCAAGTCCCGGCATGGGTGCAACGGAAATGGGGCCTGGAAGGGAAAGATGGGACACGTGGTCTGGAGAGGAAAGGGGGACTGGACGAGGGGTCAGGTGTGAAAAGAAGGCTATTTTTGAGGAAGCCGGATCGGGAACGCGATGCAGCACCCTCGGTGAAAGCTGAGAGGTTCAGCCGCCCGGCAGCAGATGTGACGGGCTCCTCACTGCCACAGAGAAGGAGAAATGAGGCTGGAGAATGGAGGGGCTCACATCGGGCTGCAAAGGGGGAAGGGTTCCAGGAGGGCTGGCCGGAGCGCAATGGACGAGAAAGGAGAGGGAGAGGAGGCAAGGGATCTGCTTTTAGTCGCATGCGAGACGGTGGTGGTCCAGCGGCGATGAGAGGGGGGAAATGGGAGAAGTATGGCCTGAAGATCCCTCGGCGCAGGGAATGGGATAGTCAAAGGCCGGGACCTCGTGCGGGCCCCCCAAGGGATGGAGGGAGACAGGAGACATATAACAGGAGAAAAGGGTGGACAAGTGGTGGTGGGCCAAGGGCCTTTCCTCCCTTATCCCCAGGAAGCAACACGGAAAAGGATGCCTCTTGGAACTCGAGGAGGAGGCTGAAAACAGATGGCGACAGAATTGCCGTGGAGCGAATGGATGCAGTGAGAACAGCACCTACTGGGAATCGCCGTGAGGAGAAGTGGCTTGCCCGGCGAAGGAGGGAGGAGGGACGACAGAGGACCATGGAACAAAAAGGAGGTGTGAATGCAACGTCACCCCAGATGCGCATGGAGCTGAAGCCAGTTAGATCATCATTTGGTCCTCAATGGGAGAGCACCTTCAAGGGCGCAGCCTGGCGACGGGACATTGAGCTGGTGTCAGAGTGGAATCTCCTGATGAAAGGGGTGGTGTTGGATGTCAGAAGTGGGGTCCCTGTGTCCGGGCGATTGAACAAGGTCAGCGAAAGGTTGGGTCTACAGGAAACAACCAGTCTGACTAAGGGCTTATTGGTGAAAGGAGAACCTCGGGCAGCCCTTGCGGTGAGTTTCCACGTCGCTTTTGAGTAAGTTTACCATATTCACCCGAACACAATGCCCGGTCATTATATATGTATCTGGACTGGAAGTTGCCCAAAGTACAGATATAATGACCGGGCGTTGTATTCGGGTGAAGACGGCAGTGGGTTACATCAACTTACAGGGCTTTTCTTCGCCAGTTTCTTTCTCGCAGCTGCTTTCTTGCATTGTTGTCTCCTCACTGGGTCTTTCCATCTGAATGATTGGCTTGAGCTGATGATGGAAGAACAACTGGTATGGTAAAAACATAAAGACTGATTGACTTGATGGGAACGTAATATGTATGTCACTAGATTTGCTTGGACTGGATCTGGTTAGTTGGATGGTTTGCGGTTGGGATTATCCTACCTTCTTCCCCCGACTACAACGTACGGTCATTATAGCTGTGGTTAGACTGAAAGATGCCCCAAATGCAGCTATAACGACCGTACAAATGCGGCTATAATGACCGTGGGAAGAAGGTAGTTTGCTTGATTGGCTTGCTTGGTTAGTTGGCTTGGTTGGCTAGGTTGGATTCAGGTAGGTTGGTTGGGCTGGTCAATTTGATCAGATTTGGTTACGATTGAATTGATTACATCGGGTGCATTTGAATTTTGCTTGGAGTTTACAAAAAAATTGATCTGGTGTTGCTTGGATTTGATCTGTGGCCTGACCAAGGTTTTCTAGGGTCTTTGGAGACTGATCCGTTCCCTCGTACCCCTTTCCCCCGTTGCCTCCTTACCTGTCGACTCTTCCCTCCCGATTCCCCAAGGAAAAAACCCTCATAATTCCCCCCAACCCAAACGGCGCCCCTCACTACATTCTGGGACACAAGTGGCGACTTATCATGCTGTCACTCGAAAACACTGGAAGTACTTAGAAAAGATAAGAGAAAGAACAAACAACATGAGAAAGACGTGTGTGTGTGTGTGTGTGTGTGTGTGTGTGTGTGTGTGTGTGTGTGTGTGTGTGTGTGTGTGTGTGTGTGTGTGCACAGCTACCCACAGTACGCAGCAGAACAGAATGCTGTGTTTGCCCACGAAACAGGTCATCCCAAAACCAATAGTTCTAGATATGCTAACTCGGAAAACAGATCATTATGGGATCTAAAGAACTACCGTCTTCACCCGAATAGAACGCCCAGTCATTATGGCTGTATTTGGCGCAACTTTCAGTCTAGATACAGCGATAATAACCGGGCGTTCTATTCGGGTGAAGACGGTAGTGACCAGATGCCAGCAGACAACCATGAAGAGAACTAGCTCAGGAATCAAACGCCCGTGGCAATAAGGCAGAGAGCAAAAGACAATGAACAGCAAGGCTGCGAGACAACTACCGGTAGGCATTGGAAGACAGGCAGCAGCAGGGGCCATAGGCTGGAGCGCATGGGGGAGGCGGGTGGGCAGACAAGCGGCACAGAGCAGTGAACCGAAAAAGACAAAGGCTGGAGGGCACGGGGGAGGCGGGAGGGCAGAAGACACGCAAGTACAAAAAACAGGCAAACTGGAAAAGGATACAAGGCCCAGAGAAGAGCAAAGACTGCAAAAAAATAAAAACTGATGAAGTGAGGTCCTCTGACCAAGCCTCGGACCCTGCGCGGGCCGGCCAACACCTTCCCTGAGGTCTCTCTGGGGGCCCGGCACTCTGCTGGGGCGGGCCAACCCTTGAAGAGCACAAGTGGGGCCAGGGGGTTCACAGGATGGACATTTTAGAGGGTTAGAAAGGAGGTACGAAAGCATGCACTCCGGGGGCTTGGAGGTGGGAAGTATGGGGAACGGGGAGGAAGATCGAAGGAGGTGGCAGGCCACAGCGCTTCAGGCTCGCAACCATAACAGGCAACAGGCAGCAGGCAACTGAGAGGAACACAATATCAGGCAGCAGGCAGCTGAGAGGAGCACAATGTTCTAGCTGATAATGTTCATCAGTCGGCTAAGTGGCTGACAGGAGCAAGTACGGAATAGCCTTCACGTCCTTCAGGCTAGCTTAGGCAGGGGTGAGGGGTGGTGCATCCATCCTGCGGGAAGTAATCAATGCCGTCCACTCGGGCCTTCCAGCCGTAACGAGGAGGAGTGTGGTGTGAGTACATGATGTATGTTTGGACTTGCCGGTGGAAGAGGGACCGGACTGACGCTCCCCACAATGGACAAGGAGCCAGAACCATGAGGTTCTGTTTTTCAAAAGAAATCATGTAAGAGAAAAAGTGATGATGAGAGATTGTTTTGTCGGACTTGCACCGACTCATCAGGAGGCGGGGTGGTGCATCCATCCTGCAGGAAGTAATCAATGCCGTCCACTCGGGCCTTCCAGCCGTAATGAGGAGGAGCGTGGTGTGAGTACATGATGTATGTTTGGACTTGCCGGTGGAAGAGGGACCGGACTGACGCTCCCCACAATGGACAAGGAGCCAGGACCATGAGGCTCTGTTTTTCAAAAGAAATCATGTAAGAGAAAAAGTGATGATGAGAGATTGTTTTGTCGGACTTGGACCGACTCATCAGGAGGCGGGGTGGTGCATCCATCCTGCGGAAAGTAATCAATGCCGTCCACTCGGGCCTTCCAGCCGTAATGAGGAGGAGCGTGGTGTGAGTACATGATGTATGTTTGGACTTGCCGGTGGAAGAGGGACTGGACTGATGCTCCCCACAATGGACAAGGAGCCAGAACCATGAGGTTCTGTTTTTCAAAAGAAATAATGTAAGAGAAAAAGTGATGATGAGAGATTGTTTTGTCGGACTGCACCGACTCATCAGGAGGCTGAACTGTCGACAGTCTGCGGAATCCCCGTATTGATGGTTTTGGTCATGAACCCTTTACCCTTATCGAAGGCAGACTGTCCACAAACGGAACATAGCAGCGGGCAACAACTCAGCGATGCACCAGGCAACGCTGCCGGAGCAACCCAACTGCACAACACCATGACTACTGCAAGGAACAACAGGGCAAGTGGACGAGCAGCATAGCAACCGTGCAGTGAAGCACAAGGCAGCCACACTACATGGCACTCAAGCAACGGAGGCGGAAGGCGCGGCACAACGATGGGCGGCAAGGCAGCATAGCAGCACAGCACAAGGCAACATGAACAACACAACCGCACTACACAGTGAACACAACAGCTTGCCAAGAACGACCTGTGAAGCAAGCGGGATGGGCGGCAAGCCAACAGCGGAGCGCAGACGAGGCAGTCTACACATCCAACACAGAGCGAAGTGCAACATCACCTACTCACATCACGAGTGAACCCCACACACTATTGGTTCCCACCACCCGCTGAGCCAGGGAGTCACTCCGACAGACGTTTGTCATGACCCATAGACCATATGCACCATACAGACATCAAGGACGGAGTGGCTCCCCTAAGAGTCCTGTATGCACTCCAAACAACGGACCACCTACTGATTAGCACTCCTTAAAGGTGCTCACTCAGACACACTGAAAGTACTTGGAAAAGATGGGAGAAAGAACCAGCAACAAACAAACAACAGACGTACACAAAACTGGTTGAGTGTGTGTGTGTGTGTGTGTGTGTGTGTGTGTGTGTGTGTGTGTGTGTGTGTGTGTGTGTGTGCACCGACGCACACGCACGAGAGAGAGAGAGAGAGAGAGAGAGAGAGAGAGAGAGAGAGAGAGAGAGAGAGAGAGAGAGAGAGAGAGAGAGAGAGAAGCAACTCTCTCAACACTTGCTCCAATCTCTCAAACTCTCGGTACCTAATTAGCACCAGTCAAGTAGTGTGTCTGCAGCACTGACTCTAGTATCCCTCTCCGACATATACAGAGTATCCAAGAATAGTCACTGACCTCGTTTCTCACTCTCTCTCATACGCTCTATCATACTCTCTCTCTCATACTCTCTCTCATTCTCTCTCTCTCATACTCTCTCTCATACTCCCTTCCATACTTACTGTCACACTCTCTCATACTCTCTCTCATTCTCTCTCTCTCATACTCTCTCTCATACTCTCTCTCATACTCCCTTCCATACTTACTGTCACACTCTCTCATACTCACTCTTAGACTCGCTCACGTACTCACTCTCGTACTCACAGTGCCACTCACGCTCATACTTACTCCTACACTCCCTCTTACACTCACTGTCACACTCGCTCATATCCAGTGATGGAAAGGGGTGAAGGAAGAAAGCAGAGAAGGCAAACTAGACAGTGGGGCATGCCTCACTTGGAACGCTACACGATAGCGCTCTCGAACACTGACCAAGCCATGTCGAACTCACGGATATAGCCACCCTGATGCTAAAACACCCTCACAACATAGGTAGCTGCCCAGGCACATAAAACATCAAATGGTGAAGGCAAGTGTAAGTGGCGACCTGCTCCTTGGGCTCTTCCTCCTCTTCCTCCTCTTCCTCCTCTTCCTCCTCTTCCTCCTCTTCCTCCTCCTCCTCCTCCTCCTCCATCCTTGTCTCGGCTATCCGTCCATCTCTCGTTTTCCTCCTCCTCCTCCATGTCTCCTCCTCCTCCTCTATCCCTCGATCTCTCCTCCTCGTTCTCCTCCTCCTCTTCTTATTGAATCTGTTTCTTCTTACCCTGAGTCAACAACTTTCCCATCATGCCAAACCTCTCTGAAGTCTTCCTTAAACCGCCACTTCGTCTATGTGGCAGAGGTGTCCGTGATGGGTAGCCAAGGCCATGAGGCTGTGAGCGCTGTCTGTGAGAAGGAAAGACCTAAGGCCAAGACGCGTAAGGCGGATGTGCAACCCGCATATGTCTGCCTCTACCTCTGAATCGTGCCACTAAACCTGCAGCGCGGGTTTAGCCTCTCCCCTTTTCTCCAGGTCGACCATCGGAGCTACCACACAGTTCAGACGGTGCCTCGGCCCATTGTAGCAGGTTCCCAAATGTGTCTCAAATGGGAGTGGTGATTCAAGTTCCCCTGGCCGACCCAGCAAGCCCTCAACTGAAGTGGCTGGCTACGGCTGCCACCTCATACCTTGGTAATCACCCATGGGTGTCTCTCAGCACTAACTCTGT